AGAGAGAGAGCACAAGTAGGCAGAGTGGTAGACAGAGGGAGAAGGAGAAGCAGACTCCCCGCTGAGCAGGGAGCCCGATGCGGGGCTCGATCCCAGGACTCCGGGATCATGACCTGAGCCGAAGGCAGTTGCTTAATGACTGAGCCACCCAGGCGCCCCTCCAGGAGTTTTTTTGTCGATTCTTTGAGATTTTCTACATAAATGATCATGACATCTGCAAACAAAGAGTTCTGTTATTTCTTTCTCAGTCTGTATACCTTTATTTCCTTTTCTTGTCTTGCCACATTAGGTAGGACGTTCTTTACTCGTTCCTCTTCTTAATGGTAAAACTTCAAGTTTCGCACTCCTAAGTTTATAGATGCTCTTTAACAAGTTGATGATACTCCCTTCTGTTCCTGGTTTACTGAGAGTTTATATCATAAATTGATACTGGGTTTTATCAAGTGCTTTTTCTGCAGCCATTGATTTGATCATGTGACTTTTCTTCTTTAGCCTGTTGATATGATAGATCATATTAATTGATTTTCAAATGTTGAACCAGCCTTTGCATACCTGGGATAAATCCCATATGCTTATGGTTTACAGTCCTTTTTATACATTGTTGGATTTGATTTGCTAATAGTCTGTTGATTTTTCCATCTATGTTCATGAGAGATATTGTTCTGTAGTTGTTTTTTTTTTCCTTGTAATTTCTCTGTCTGGTTCTGTTGTTTGGGGTAATGCTGACTTTGTAGAATGAGTTAGGAAGCATACCCTTGGCTTCTGTCTGCTGGAAGAGATTATAGGGAATTGGTGTAATTTCGTCCTTAAATATTTGTTTGGTGGAACTCATCAGTGAACTTAGCTGGGCCTGATAGATTCTGTTTTGGAAGGCAATCAATTATTGATTCAGTTTCTTTAATAGATACTGGCTGTTCAGATGGTCTATTTTGTGTGTGTGGCTTTTGGCAGATTGTGTCTTTCAAGGAATTGGTCCATTTCATCTAGGTTATCAAATTTGTGGGCATAGAGCTGTTCGTAGTATTTCTTTATTATCCTTTTAATGTCCATGGGCTCGTCGTGATGTCCCCTCCTGTCATTTCTGATATTAATAATTTTTCTTCTCTTTTTTTCTTAGTTAGCTTGGCTCAGGGCTTATTAATTTTATTGATCTTTTCAAAGAAGCAGCTTTTGGTCCTACTGATTTTTTCTTGATTTCCTGTTTTTAATTTCATTGATTTCTGCTCTAATTTTTTATTTCTTTCCTTATTTTAATTTGCTCTTCTTTTTTAGTTTCATAGGGTAGAAGCTAAGATGACTCATTTTAGATTTATAGTATTGAATACATTCAATACTATAAATTTCCTTCTTAGCATTGCTTTCACTCTATCCCACAATTTTGATACACCATGTTTTGATTTTCACTTAGTTCAAAATATTTTTTAATTTCTCCAGAGATTTCTTTTTTGATCCATGTATTATTTAGGAGTGTATTATTTAATCCCTACATATTTTGAGATTCTCCAGCTATCATTTTGTTACTGATTTCTTTTCATTCCATTGTGATCTGAGAGCAGACATTGTATGATTTATTTTTTTTAATTTGTTAAGATGTGTTTTATGGCCCAGGATGTGGTCTGTCTTGGTGAATGCTCCATGTGAACTTAAGAAGAATGTATGTTCTGTTGTTGGATGGAGTAGTCTATAGGTATCCATTATATCCTGTTGATGAATGATATTGTTGAGTTCAACTATGTCCTTACTGATTTTCTGCCTCATATATCTGCCCATTTATAAGAAAAGAGTGTGGATCCATCTGTTTCTCCTTGCAGTTCTCTCATTTTGGCCTCACATAGCTTGACACTATTGTTGGATGCATACATGTTAAGGATTGTTGTATCTTCTTGGAGAATTGACCCTTTTGTCATTATGTAATGCCCTTCTTTATCCCTCATAACTTTATTTATTTTGAATCTTCTGTCTGAAGTTAATGTAGTTACTCCCACTTCCTTTTATTAGTGTTAGAATGGTAATATCTTTCTCCATCCCTTTACTTTTCATCTATGTGTGCCTTTATAAAGTGCCTTTCTTATAGACAGTATATAATTGGGTCTTGTTTTTGATCCACTCTGATAATCTTGGTCTTCTAATTGGTGCATTTAGACCATTGATGTTCATAGTGATTATTGGTACAGTTGGATTAATATCAATTATATCTGTTACTGTTTTCTATTTGTTGCTCTTGTTTCTGTATTTGTCATCCACTCTTTTTCTGTCTTTTACAATTTTATTCAAACATTTTATTCCATTTTCTCTCCTTCCTTAACAGTTACAGTCTCGCTTTACTTTTTTTCAGTGGTTACCCTAGAGTTTGCAGTATACATATCAACTAATTCAAGTCCACTAACACTATACAGCTTCACAGGTAGTGTAAGTACCTTAAAATAATCCTAATTCCTCACTCTCATCCCTTGTACCATTGCTGACATTCATTTCACTTATACAAATACACATATATATATATATACACATAAGCAAATACAGTTGAATACAGTGTTACTACTATTAGTTTCTGAGAAGTAAGATGTAATTCTTATCTTTGTACCTCTGTCAGTATAGTGGGTTTTTTTCCCTGTGACTTCTTTTAAGATTCCTCTCCTTCCCCCCACCTTTTTTCCTCTCATTTGAAAGGGATATTTCTACATGTAATTTTCTTGGCATTTAACCTAATTGGTGTTTCCTGAGCTTCCTAGATTTATGGTTTGATGTCTGACGTTAATTCTTAGTCATTATTGTTTCAAATATTTCTTCCATCCTTTCTCTCCTTCTACATTTGGTATTCCCATTTCTTACATGTTACACCTTTTGTAGCTGTCTCACCATTCTTGGATATTTTGTTTTGGGTTTCTTTTGTTTTGTTTTATTCTCTTTTTTCTCTTTGCTTTTCAGTGTTAGTGGTTGCTATTGAGATATCCTTAAATTCAGAGATTCTTTTCTCAGCCATTGCCAGACTATTAATAAGTCCATCAAAGGCATTCTTCATTTCTGTTAACAGTGTTTTTGATGTCTAGTATTTCATTTTGTTTCTCTTAGAATTCCCACCTCTCTGCTTACCTTGCTCATCTGTTTTTGCATACTCTCTATCCACTTGAGCCATTAGCATGTTAATCATTGTTGTTTTATTTTTTTTTTTAGAAAGAGACAGAGAGCAGGGGGGAGGGGCAGAGGGTGAGGGAGAAAGAGTCTCAAGCAGACTCCACACTGAGCACCAGCCCAACTTGGGGCTTGATCTCATGATTCTGAGATCACGACCTGAGCCAAAACGAAGAGTTGGACGCTTAACTAACTGCGCAACCCAGGCACCCCTAATTGTTGTTCTAAATTCCTGGTCTGATATTCCAACATTGCTGCTATATCTGAGTCTGTTCTCATGCTTGCCCTGTCTCTTCCAACTGTGTTTTTGCCTTTTATTATGTCTTGTAATTTTTTCCTGATAGCCAGGCATGATGTACTGGGTAAAAGGAACTGCTGTAAATAGGCCATTAGTAATGTGATGATAAGGTGTTGGGGAGGGAAAGTGTTCCTAGTCCTGTGATCAGGTCTCAAGTCTTTTAATGAGTTTGCACCTCTGGAATGTAAGCTACACAGTGCTTCTCAGTATTCTCGCTTCCTCCCTTAGGTGGGATAGGATGACTAGAGTGGACTGGAGTTATTTCCCTTACCCCAGGTCACTGGTCTCTGATAAAACCCTAGCAGGCTAGGCTTTGATAATTTCTCCTGAGAGTAGACTCTGTTATGAAAAACAGAATGCTCTTGTGTATTTCAAAATGGTTTGTTTTCCCTTCCTCCTGTCAGCAGCACAAGATTTTTCTCTACTATTCACTGTGAGAGCCTGGTAGAGATCCAGGAGGTAAAACTCAAAAATGTGTCGGCTCCCCCAGTAACAGGATCCCTCAGGCGTGTTTTGGGTTTTGGGGAGGGGTTGTTTGGTTTTGGGGGTTTTTTTTCCTTCAGTTTACCATATTATTTTATTTTTTTTATTATGTTCAGTTAGCCACTGTATAGTATATAATTAGTCCTTGATGCAGTGTTCAGCAATTCATTAGTTAAGTATAACACCCAGTGCTCATCACAGCACCTGCCCTCCTCAATACCCATCACCCTTTTACCCCATCTGCCCACCCTCTTCCCCTCTGAAACCCCCAGTTTGTTCCTCAGGATCTGTAGTCTCTCATGGTTCATCTCCCTCTCTGATTTCTCTGCCTTTGGATTTCCCTCCCTTCCCCTGTGGTCCTCCATGCTATTGCTTGTGTTCCACATATGAGCGAAACCATATAATAATTGTCTTTCTCTGTTTGACTTACTTCACTTAACATAATCCCCTCCAGTTCCATCCATGTCGATGCAAATGGTGGGTATTCATTGTTTCTGATGGCTGAATAATATTCCATTGTGTAGATATACCACATCTTCTTTATCCATTCATCTGTTGAAGGGCTTCTCGGCTCCTTCCACAGTTGGGCTATTGTGGACATTGCTGCTGTGAACATTGGGGCACAGGTGCCCCTTTTTCTCACTACATCTGTATCTTTGGGGTAAATACCCAGTAATGCAATTGCTGGGTCATAGGGTAGCTCTATTCTTAATGTCTTGAAGAACCTCCATACTGTTTTCTAGAGTGGCTGTACCAACTTGCATTCCTACCAACAGTGTAAGAGGGTTCCCCATTCTTCACATCCTCGCCAACATTTGTTGTTTCCTGTTTTGTTAATTTTTGTCATTCTAACTGGTGTAAGGTGGTATCTCATTGTGATTTTGATTTGTATTTCCCTGATGGCTAGTGATGTTGAGCATTTTTTCATGTGTCTGTTAGCCATTTGTACATCTTTTTTGGAGAAGTGTCTGTTCATGTCTTCTGCCCATTTTTTGACTGGGTTATTAGTTTTTTGAGTGTTGAGTTTGAGAAGTTCTTTATAGATCTTGGATATCAGCCCTTTATCTGTAATGTCCTTTGCAAATATCTTCTCCCATTCTGTGGGCTGCCTCTTAGTTTCGTTGACTGTTTCCTTTGCTGTGCAGAAGCTTTTTATCTTGATGAAGTCCCAGAAGTTCATTTTTGCTTTTGTTTCACTTGCCTTTGGAGACATGTCTTAAAAGAAGTTACTGTGGCCGATGTGGAAGAGCTAATTGCCTATGTTCTCCTCTAGGATTTTGACGGATTCCTGTCTCACATTGAGGTCTTTCATCCATTTTGACTTTATCTTTGTGTATGGTGTAAGGGAATGGCCCAGTTTCATTTTTCTATATGTAGCTGTCCAATTTTCCCATCACCACTTATTGAAGAGACTGTCTTTTTTCCATTGGATATTTTTTCCTGATTGTCAAAGTTGACCATAGATTTGAGGGTCCATTTCCCCAGGAGTGTTTTTACTGGCCCATACTGAACCTCCAGCAATTTGCCAGTTACAGTTCAGGTTTCTCTACCCCAACACTAGTTCCCACTGAGGTTTCTGCTGTGGTAAGTTATAATTCTCTGTGTTCACCTACGATTTTCTCCAATTTGGGGGGCAGGAGTTTGCCCTGTCATCCCCCTTATCTTAAGGATCTAAGAAGAGTTACTGAATTTTTAGTTTGTTTAGCTTTTTAGTTGTTGTTAGAACAGAGAGTGATGACTTCCAAGCTTCTTATATGCCAAACTGGAAGCCGGAAGTCCCTTAATTTATTGTAATATTTTCAAGCATAATCTTAGCCTATTTTTAAGTTTTTGGTTTTCATTATTTACAATTAAACTTGAAGTAATAGAAATTTTTTTAAACTTAACCTGCAAAATGACATCACAAAAATTAAGTTACTGTACTTTAGATTTTGTATTATAGTCTTTTCTAGGACAGTCTTTTAAATGACCTTTCCTGGATTTCACTGTGCAAATCAGTTAATGTAAAACTACTTTTTAGTTCTGTTTTCTCAAGAGAAACCAAATAGTATAAGTTTGCTTTACTGATCTGAATATCTATACTAGTTTTTACCTGGAAACTTGAGCTTGTCTAATTTTTTTACCTGGTAAGTCTTTTCTACGAACTTACGTAAATAAGCGGATATGAATTATACATTAACTAACCTTAAAATTGATAATCACAAATGCAGTACTGAATGGCTCATTTCACTTAAAGTGCTTTTTACTTTCTTTCTTTTGAAGCTTCTTCTCAACCTGTTGATAACCATGTTAGCCCATCTTCCTATTTGGGCCATACACCAGCATCACCAGCCAGATACTCACCTGTTTCAAAAGCAATGCTTGGAGATGATGAAATTACAAGGTAAGGAACTGAACATTTGTCTTTCTTAAAAAAAGCCAACTGTTAGAAGGAGTTATAATCAGTTTTCAGCCACAGTTTTCAGGACTAAAAAATTTTACTGATAGATAATGAACTTAAACCTTAATTTTTTTCATTGGAGGGTTCATTGAAGAGGCTGAAATATAAAAATGTTTTATATTCCAAATCACTGCCCTTTTTAAAAACATATTACTTATTTTTCAGGAATGGTGCCCTTTTTAAAAACATATTACTTATTTTTCAGGAATGGTTAATTGTTCTTAGAAATTAGCATAGGTAAAACTGAGTTAAGAATATACATATGTATATTTAAAACTAACTTTTCATATATTCCTATTTGTTATAGCAATCATTTGATTCATGTTTAGAATTCAACAAGTGATATTTTCTTTGCTTAATATTTATGTTTGATAACCTCACTCCTAAAATTTACCTTGATCTGACTTTACTGTTTTAAAAAGTTTGTAGGGGCACCTGGGTGGCTCAGTCGGTTAAGCATCTGCCTTCAGCTCAGGTTATGATCCCAGGGTTCTGGGATCAAGCCCCGCATCAGGCTCCCCGCTCAGCGGGAAGCCTGCTTCTCCCTCTCCCTCTGCCCGCTGCTCTGCCTGCTTGTCCTCTCTCTCTCTCTCTCTGTCAAATAAATAAATAAATAAATAATCTTTAAATAAAGTTTGTAAATCTGTCTTTTTATTCCCAAAGAACTCTTAAGTAGGTGGGAAAAAATAAGTGAAAAGTATTTTAGATCTTTTTCACGATTTAATATAGTAATAGATGTTACATTTATGCAGATTGCTCTATAATTTGTACAAGTATTTCATATTATAACATTTAACATTAAATGTCTGCTGATTAATGTCTATTTTATGTTTTTATTAATTGCATTGTTGACATTATTATTTTGAACTTTCAAAATTATAATTACTCTTTCAGACTCCTGACTCTAGGAGTCTTAAAGAGATCATTAAGGTCAGGTAGGAAAGAATATTCATCTATGTCCTTTTTTTTCAAGAGTTAGCATTACTGGACGCCTGGGTGGCTCAGTTGGTTAAGCGACTGCTTTCGGCTCAGGTCATGATCCTGGAGTCCCTTGATCGAGTCCCGCATCGGGCTCCCTGCTCAGCGGGGAGTCTGCTTCTCCCTCTGACCCTCCCCCCTCTCATGTGCTCTCTCTCATTCTCTCTCTCTCAAATAAATAAATAAAATCTTTAAAAAAAAAAAAAAAAGAGTTAGCATTACTGAAAACTTAATTTATAAATATGTGCTCAGTAATTGTGTTTGGAGTGAAAATTAGCAGAAAAAACAGTGTTTGTGGTTATTTCTTTGTCATATGAATTTTCAAGGCTGTTAGTCTTTAGGCTGTGCTCCTGTACTGATCTGTCATGGCTTTGTTGTTGTTTTCTAGTAGTGCCAATTTATAGAAGTAAAGAGGAAAAATAGTTAATGGCTTATCTAGCCTTTAATTTCTACATATTTTTCAAACTAAAAAGTATGTTATATTGGTGTCTTCATTTTTGCTGTTCCCCATCTTTTTTCATTACATATCTTTTCTCTAGAATATTGTATTGGACTTTTTTAGTATTACACAAGTCTACCTGTCTTCTCTACTTTTCTGTGAAAATCAGGTGGTTGATCACTGCATATGCCTTCCTAAAACATGTGTTTTATCACTCCCTTTTGATAATTACACAACTTTGCCCAGATATGAAGTACAAAAATCTTTACCCTCATATTAGAAGTTCTCCACAATTTGACCCTAAGCAGTCTTTCAGAGGTTATCTCACGTTACCAATTTAAAAAAAGGAAAAGAGGGCACCTGGGTGGCTCAGTTGGTTAAGCGTCTGCTTTCAGCTCAGGTCATGATCTCAGGGTCTTCCTGGGATCCAGCCCTGTGTCAGGCTCCGTGCTCAGTAGGGAAGCCTGCTTCTCCCTTTCCCTCTGCCCCTATTCGTGTGCTTTCTCACTCACTCACTCTGTCTCTCAAATAAATAAGTAAAATCTTTAAAAAACAAATAAAATAATATAAAATAAAAAAGGAAAAGAAAAGAAATTCCAACATACAGAAAATTGATAATTCTAAAGTTCATTTTTTTAACAGCTTTATTGAGCTATGATCCACATATCATACACTTCTCTCATTTAAAATGTAAACTCAAAATTTTTTTTGTATATTACATTATTTTTTTTTAAGGAATTTTTTTTAAAGATTTTATTTATTTGACAGAGAGAAAGAGTACAAGCAGGGGGAGCGGCAGGGAGAGGGAGAAGCAGGCTCCTGCTGAGCAGAGAGCCTGATGCGGGGCTCGATCCCAGGACCCTGGGATCATGACCTGAGCTGAAGGCAGACGTTTAACCAACCACCTGGGCCACCCAGGTGCCCCACATTATTAATTTTTTTAAACGTGCGATTCATTGGCATTAATTGCATTCCCTACATTAGGAAATCATCACCACTATCTATTTCCAGAACCTTTTTGCCACCTCAAACAAACAAAATTAAGCAGTAATTCCCATTTCCCTCTCCTCCCAGTCCCTGGTAACCTCTAGTCTAGTGTACTTTGTGTCCTGTACATTTGCCTATTCTAGATTGTTCATATAAGTATAATCTTACAACTCTTTTGTGTCTGACTTCTTTCATTTAGCATAGTGTTTTCAAGATTCATCCATGTTGTGTAGCATGTATCAAAACTTCATTCCTGGGGTGCCTGGGTGGCTCAGTCAGTTAAGCGTCTGCCTTTGACCCAGGTTATGATCCCAGAGTCCTGGGATGGAGCCCTGCATCGGGCTCCTTGTTTAGCAGGGAGACTGCTTCTCCTTCTACCTCTGCCTGCTGCTCCCCCCCTGCTTGTGTGCTCTCTCTCTGTCTCTCTGTCAAATAAATAAATAAAATCTTTAAAAAAAAAAAAGTCTTCATTCCTTATGTAAGCTGAAAATACTCCATTATGTGTATATACCACATTTTACTTATCCATTCATCTGTTGATGGACATTTGGCTTATTTCCACCTTTTGGGTATTGAGAATAATGCTCTGATAAACATTGGCTTGCACGTATCTGCTTGCGTCCTTGTTTTCACTTCCTTTGAATATATACTGAGGAGTGGAATTGCTGAGTCACACAGTCAATGTATGTTTACATTTATGAGGAACCATTTGTTCTTTATAGCATCCACACCATTTTACATTCCCACCATCAATATATGAGGGTTCCAGTTTCTCCACAACCTCACCAATACTTGTTTTTTCTCTTCCGTTTTGTTTTATAGCCATTGTAGTAGGTGGGATGTATCTCGTGATTTTCATGCATTTCTCTAATGACTAATAATGTTGAACATCTTTTCATGTGCTTATGTTATTTGAAAAACCAGAATTTATTTTCCTCTGAAATACTGCTGGATTTTAGCAGAATATTTTATTATTTATATAAAATTTATATTTATATAAAACTAATTCATATATATGTGTGGCTTTTTGCTTCATACAAATATATTTTTTTATTTTCAAGTTTTTATTTAAATTCCAATTAGTTAGCACACAGTGTAATGTTAGTTTCAGGTGTAGAATTTAGTGATTCATCACTTACAAAAAACACCCAGGGCTCATCACAAGTGCCATCCTTAATACCCATCACCCATTTAACCCATCCCCCCTCCCACTTCCTCCATATATGTTTTAAAGTAGTAGAAACCCTAAACTGTGAGTCCATCATCTAACAGTGAAATAAAACATCAATATAGTGTAACCTGTTTTGTGCCCTGATCTATCCTGCCTCTCCTACACTGCCTCACCAAGTGAACTATTTTCCTGAATTTGGATTTATTATTCCATTTTTTTATATATATGTATATGTGTTTAATATTTTCTAAACAATTATTTGGTTTTGCTGTATTTGATAAGAAAGTATAATTTTGTTAACCCTGTAAGGGAACTGGCAAAGCTGATTAGTGATGAAAACCTATGTATGACTAGAAAATGCCAGTTTAGGTTTTTAGCAAGTACTTAAGATTAATTCCACATTATATGGAAGGATCCCTAAAATTCATTTTTTAAAAGTATTTACCTTTGGGGGCGCCTGGGTGGCTCAGATGGTTAAGCATCTGCCTTCTGCTCAGGTCATGATCCAAAAGTCCTGGGATTGAGCCCCGCCCACATTGGTCTCCCTGCTCAGCAGGGAGTCTGCTTTTCCCTCTCCCTGCCGCTCCCCCTGCTTGTGCGCGCGTGCTCTCTCTCTCTCTCTGTCAAATAAATAAAATCTTTTAAAAAAAAAAAATTACTTCTGTTAAGCCTTTTGTTACCAATAGCTTTTTGAAATGTTCTAGAAAAATCCAGTTAAATTTTTATTTTTTTGAAAGATTTTATTTATTTATTTGAGAGAGAGAGTGAGAGAGAGAGAGAGCACAAGACAGGGGAGCGGGAGAGGGAGAAGCAGACTCCCTGCCGAGCAGGGAGCCCGATGCGGAACTCGATCCCGGGACTCCAGGATCATGACCTGAGCCAAAGGCAGTCACTTAACCAGCTGAGCCACCCAGGCGCCCCGTCCAGTTAAATTTTTAAAATATTTACCAAATATGGTACATTCTAATTTCAAATGATATTCTGTATCTCATCATACCTGCTGCTGGAATTTTCATGGTCTTACCAGAGGTATAAATGGTATTCACACAACCATTTATAACTGGCAGCAAATGTTAAACACTAGTAGTGGTAAGCTATATTCTGATTTCAGAGATTTTAAAAAATAGGGGATGGGGGAGAAGGCTCATCTTAGAATGGGTGAACAGCAGAGAGAGAGAGAGATGGAAGTATGTGACTTAAGAAGTAAAAAATAATTATTTTATATAAAAAGTTTAGAGATGGGCAGTTCCAGCAATTGTGTAGCAACCCTTAGGTCCATGGTGTCTCTGGGATTCTTCTGGTCTTACCTTCATGGCTAGAATATGTCTAAATCAGTAATGGGATTTTACTGTTCATTTTTTGTGTGGGGGTTATTTTGGGTGGGGAAGGGAACAAAATGTGCTTTGTTTTTGTTACGGTCTATCTTTCCTTGGGAAATGACAATAAAATTTACCTTTATTTCTCAGAGGCCAAAATAAGGTCTTAGCCTCAACTTAGCAAAGAGGAATGAGATTGCTATGACTGGCTTAGGTTAGTCATGATTCATCCTTTTGAGGATCTAGCTTTCTTTATAGTGTGATAATATAAGAGTTATCAGTAGAGCATTCTCACTGATACAATGTCAAGTTCTGTATAAAATTTCTAAGGTGTTCAATATTTTCCTAATTTTTTAGGGAACCTAGGAAAGTTGTTCTTCATCGTGGCTCAACAGGCCTTGGTTTCAACATTGTAGGAGGTGAAGATGGAGAAGGAATATTTATTTCCTTTATCTTGGCTGGAGGACCTGCTGATCTTAGTGGAGAGCTCAGAAAAGGAGATCGTATTATATCGGTAGGATATGTTAATCAAATTATGTTTTTATTATTATAACTATGACCTGACCTATTATTAAAAGTTTTGTTTTTTACATCCTAAAGTTATGGGAGATATTTTGGTTGTTTTCTTACCATTTTGCAACTGAATTGTAGGATTGCAGTGTTGTCAGAGAACATGTTCTATAGGATAGATTTTCTTTTGATATTTGACTTACCTGTAAGCAGGTCAGTCTTTATAAATGTGCTTGAAGAAAGTATGTATTCTCTATTTGTTGACTGCAAGGTTATCTGTATGTTTATTTGTGTAGTGCAGATCTTCTTTATACTTTAACCTGTTGTCTGTTTGATCTATTATTAAAAGAAATTTTTTAAGCTTCTCAATGTGATGGTGGGTTTAGCAGTTTGTCCTTGCAGTGATGTTTAATTTTTATATCTTTGAAACTATATTATTAGATGCATCTAAGTTTAGAATCATTATTCCTTCCTGGTGAGTTGAAATTTTTTATCATTATGTAGTAATCCTCTTTATAGTAATGGTTTTTACCCTAGAAGCTATGTTGCCTGATATTAATATGGCTCTTTTTGGCTTGATATTTGCTTCATCAAATTATCTTTATTTCACCCTCACTTGTAAATATAATTCAGTGTAAAGTGCTAGGTTGACAGCTGTTGTCTATCAGTACTTTGAAGATACTGTTTTATGCTATCTGGCTTCTTTCATTGCTATTTACGAAGAAGATCTGCACTGTATCTTGTTTGCAAGTGATTTGGTTTGTTTTTCTTTTTTTCCACTGACTACTTTTTAAAGTCTCTTACTTTTTTTGGTATACTACAGTTTAACTAAAATGTGTTTATGTCTAGCATTTTATTTATTCTGTTTGGGATTCATTCTGCTTCCTGGATCAGAGGAGTCCTGTCTTTAATCAATTCTGGAATCTTAGCCAGTATTTTTTCAAATTTTGCCTTTCCCACATTGTGTGGATTCTGGCCTCCTTCAGTTCCTTTGAGAGGATATTATCTTTCTGTTCTGCATGTCTTTTAACCCCAATTTCATATTTATCAACTTTCTCTCCTTGTACTTAATTTCAGTCATATCTGTTTTCTAGTTCATAAATTTTCTTCGTCTGCTCTTTAAGCCAAAACTAATTTTTTAATTTCAGAGTACCCTTTGCTTTCTAGAAATTCTTTCTGGTTTTTTTTTCAGTCTGTCTTGGTGGTTTTTGTGGATTCTTTGTTATTTATAGTTTCTAATATTCTTTTAGATTTTTCCTCTATTTTATCTTAAGTGCTATAAGTAATAGTTGTATTTTTTGAAGCTTATAGGTAACTAATACATGTGACCTGTGATAAATTGTTTTATTCTAAATTTTACATTGTGAGTTTGTTTTCAGTAGTACTTGATAGAGTGATGGGAGAAAGAGAAAGAATAGATGGGGATGGGGGAAACCAGCCAAAACTGTACCTAACATGTAATGGCAACCCTGGACTAGAAAAACTAATAAAAATTCTAGGAAGCCACAGAGCAAGTCTTAACACCTGTCAACTCTTTCCCATTGGTCTTCACTGAGTGCTCAGATGCAATAAACCAAAGGTTGGGAACCAACAGAAGAGAACTGAGAAAAAAATCATTACTGAATCATACAAGGTACCTGCTCAATAAAAATAGGGGACCTTGGGCAGATCTGTGAAAACCAGCCCTGGGAACTCTGTACTTGAGCTGTTAAGATATAAGGGTTGGGGGGAGATAAGAGAGTTCAGAAAAAGCCCTCTGAGACTATGTGGACAGAGTGATACCTCCAAGACACAGCAAGCCTGGGACAGATCTTGAGAACAAAGAGAACTTAAAGCTGGCAGCAGGTTAATAAAGCAGACAGTTTTAAAAGTCAGTAGTTCGGCTACAAAACGCTAAGTGATCCTGGTAGTCTCCAGGATCTAGTGCTAATACTCCCACCTTACGTCCCTCAGGGGAAAACGTCTTAATCCTGCTCTCAGAACATCTGAAGCTAAACTTAATTAAAACTGCAATAAAATATAGTTGTAGTTCCCCCCACTGTTGTGGTCCAACACAAGGGTTGTTCCCTATTCTGGGATTAAATAGTACTTGTTTCAGCCTCTATTGTTATTTTATCTGAAATTGTCTATTTTACAATTAAAAAATTACAAAACATGCCAAAAAAGGAAGAAAAGAAAACTAGTTGTCAAGACAGAAAGCAGTCAATAGAATTAAATCAAGAGAAGGCTCAGATGTTCAATTTATCAAACACGGACTTGAAAATAAGTATGATAAAATCATGATGAGGATGAGGTGATGTTGATAAATACTAAAGAATACAGGAGTAAAGGTAGAAAATATGGATGAAAAGATTGGAGAATTTAGACAAAGACATCAATACTACAAAAAAGAATCCATGGAATGGCTAGAAATTTAAAAAAAAAACTGTCAAAAATGAAAATTTTATTTAAAAGACTTAATAACGCACTGGACTCAACAAAGGAAGGAATCCGTGAACTTGAGCATAAGACAAAGTTTCCAACCTGAAACTTAAGGAGCAGTGTGTAGAATTTGGGAAGAAAAAGCAGACCAGAGCATCCAAGATCTATGGAACAGCATCAATCTAATAAAGAGGAGACAGAATCTCTGAAAACATAATGACTATTTTCTAAAACTGATGAAAAATACCAACCCACAGGTCTATGAAGCTCAGCAAACAAGACGTAGATATACTAGAAAGCTACACTAAAGAGCACTTGTTAAAAGCAGTCTTAGAAACAACACATTACCTACATAGGAACAATACAAATGACAACTGACTTCTCGATAGAAATATTAGAAGGCGGGCGCCTGGGTGGCTCAGTTGGTTAAGCGACTGCCTTCGGCTCAGGTCATGATCCTGGAGTCCCGGGATCGAGTCCCACATCGGGCTCC